TTGATCCATGCACCTGGAATATGGTTGCTTGCTCTGTTGAGGGCTTTGTGATTTCTCTGTAAGCTTCTTCATTTTGTCTTAAACCTGGTTTTCTATCTCCTTTCTTCTTTTTTTTCTCTTGATTTGAATATATTTTGTAGGAATAAATGTCAGATAAAGCTCAAATACGTTACTAATTATTGTTGTTGCTGCTATATAGTGAGATGTCAAATATGGGCTTATCTGGAACGCTTTCCCCTAGCATTGGGAACCTGAGTTATCTTCGGACAATGTGAGCAGTGAGCCTCCCTCTCCCTTCATTGTCTCGAAATCATTTGTTAGACGTTTATAACTATTGTTTTCTGAAGTGAAAATTCAGTGGTTGTTCTTACTCATCTTTTCTTGTCCCATTACTTGGATAGCCTAATGTTGGAATGTTTCTCATTCAAGGTTTATCTCACTTCTTTGAAAGTTCTTTTTCATGTATTCTATATAAATAATCGCAGGTTCTTGCAAAATAATGAACTATCTGGTCCAATCCCAGATGATATAGGAGAACTTTCAGAGCTTCAGACTCTTGACCTTTCTAACAACCAGTTTGTAGGCGGCATTCCAAGTTCTTTGGGGTCTCTCACTCATTTAAATTACTTGTAAGTATGACTTGATATGCAAAGATTTTTCTTTCTTTCATTCTCTTCTACTTTCTAATTATTGATTCTATTGTTGTCATGTAACCTTTGCCTGCCAAGTTTTCAGGAAGCTCAGCAGTAACAAGTTAAGTGGACCAATTCCGGAATCTGTTGCAAATATTTCAGGCCTTTCCTTCTTGTAAGTATTATTCTATTGCAATTCCTTGTGTTTTGCTGAGTTCACAGAAGTGACCAGATGGTTTGCTCGCTAGGGATCTATCGAATAATAATCTCAGCGGCCCAACTCCAAGAATACTTGCCAAAGAGTACAGGTGAGACTTCATGTCGAGTTAACTTGTCAGAAAACTTGATATCATTCCAAATTCCATCGGTTACTTATGAAGATCAGAATTAGCCTATATCTGAGAATGGTTTGTAAAGAGAGGGAATTATGTTTTCCTCCAATGCCATTTACCACCTTTTGACAGTGCTTGCCTTGTTTCTGTAGTGTTGCAGGGAATAGCTTCCTTTGTGCATCTTCATCGTCTAAAGTTTGTGGAGTAGTTTCAAAACCAGTTAATGGTAATACTATATTCTCCCTGGTCGTTGTATCTTGAATGTCAATGGTATAAAACTCATGAATAGCTGTTATCGTTCAGAAACTGGTTCGCCTCAGAAAGATAATGGCCGACATCACTTGATCCTTTCCATAGCTCTAATTGTCAGTTTCACATTTGTGGTTTCTGTTGTGTTACTTGTTGGCTGGGTGCATTGTTATAGATCTCATCTTGTCTTCACGTCCTACGGTACTTTCTGAACTTTGGGATGAACCGATGCCCTTGTACTTTTTTCTTCTTTGTTCTCTCTTATAGCTAGAGTATAATGATTGACTCTGCTGCACTTCATTATGATGGTTCATATCTGCAGTGCAGCAAGATTATGAATTTGATATAGGTCATCTGAAAAGGTTTACATTCCGTGAACTACAAAAGGCAACATGTAATTTTAGTCCCCAAAACATCCTGGGACAGGGTGGTTTTGGAGTAGTTTATAAAGGTTATCTTCCAAATGGGACATATGTTGCTGTCAAGAGACTGAGAGATCCAAATTATACTGGAGAAGTGCAGTTTCAAACAGAAGTTGAAATGATTGGCTTAGCCGTGCACCGCAACCTCTTGCGTTTGTATGGCTTTTGTATGACGCCAGATGAGAGATTGCTCGTTTATCCATATATGCCAAATGGAAGCGTTGCTGACCGCCTGAGAGGTTTGTTTTAACAAATGACGATGACATATGTATAATCTGCTTTGGACAAACTAGATTGAATAGTGCTTCTCTATTTGTATTTACTGCTATATTTTGGTTGTTTATATGCCATCCACTTTCAGATGCAGGCCAGGAGAAGCCAACATTGAATTGGAACAGAAGATTGTGTATTGCCCTTGGTGCAGCTCGTGGGCTTGTATACTTGCATGAGCAGTGCAACCCAAAAATTATTCACCGGGATGTGAAAGCTGCAAATATTCTTCTAGATGAAAGCTTTGAAGCGGTGGTGGGGGATTTTGGTCTGGCAAAGATGTTAGATAGGAGAGATTCACATGTTACTACTGCTGTTAGGGGCACTGTGGGACATATTGCCCCGGAATATCTTTCAACTGGACAATCTTCAGAAAAGACTGATGTTTTTGGATTTGGCATATTGGTTCTGGAACTCTTAACAGGCCAAAAAGCACTAGATGCTGGCAATGGCCAAGTTCGAAAGGGAATGATCCTCGAATGGGTACGTAGGGTCTCTCCTGTTATGAGTTGTTTGCTTATCTGTAACAACCTAGGCCCACTGCTTGCAGATATTGTCTTCTTTGGACTTTCCCTCAAGGTTTTTAAAATGCGTATGTTAGGGAGGAGTTTCCACACCCTCGTAAGAATCCTTCATTCTTCTCCCCAATTGATTTGGGATCCCACAATCCACCTCCCTTCAGGGCTCAGTGTCTTCGCTAGCACTCGTTCCTCTTCTCCAATCGATGTGGGACCCCCAAATCCACCCCCTTCGATGCCAGTGTCCTTGTTGGTATACAGCTTGGTGTCTAGCTCTAATACCATTTGTAATAGCCTAAGCTCACTGTTAGCAAATATTGTCTTCTTTGGGCTTTCTCTGTCGGGCTTCCCCTCAAGGTTTTTAAAACGCGTCTCCTAGGAAGAGGTTTCCACACTCTTATAAAAATGTTTCGTTCTTCTCTCCAATCGACGTGCGATCTCACATTAAACAAAGATAAACACATGCTTTTATAATTTCATTAAGAGTCTTCATTTTTAATCTCAACTTCATAATGATATCTGACAAAAAAAAAGTGAAATGAGCAGGTTAGAACATTACATGAGGAGAAGAGGCTAGATGTGCTGGTGGACAGGGATCTAAAAGGGTGTTATGATGCAATGGAGCTGGAAAAAGCCGTAGAGTTGGCTCTGCAGTGTACTCAGTCACATCCACAACTCAGACCGAAGATGTCCGAGATCTTGAAGGTTGTAGAAGGTCTGGTTGGACAGTCGAGTCAAATGGAGGAATCACCAGGTGGAGCAGGAAGTGTTTATGAGAATAGAGCTCACAGTTTCTCCAGAAAGTACTGTGATATTCATGAAGAGTCTTCATTTGTCATCGAAGCCATGGAGCTTTCAGGACCCCGTTGAAAGCAAATAGTTTATCAAAACATAATCAGTTTTGCATCTCACAAGAGATGGAAAGCATTTACGTCCATAATCCGTTTCACCAAATCCAGAAAGCCAACGGCGGACCCTCGTGATGACTGATGTTATCTGCCACTGAATTTATTTTGTATTGTAGGATTCGTGAAAGAAAAAAACATTCAGTCAAATGGTGAAGTGAAACGATAAAGAGGTACGCTTCTTCTCTCCCATCGATGTGGGATCTCACAATCCACCTGTCCTCGCTGGCACACTACTCGGTATCTAACTCTAATACTAATTTTGAGGTTTGAGATTCTTTCGAGGACAAAACAAAGTAGGAAGGGGAACCGTGATGATGTAGTTGAAGAAGAAGGCTTTATCCAAGCATGGCTGTAAATCATGTTTGAGAAGAAGATTGTTTCATCTCTTCCCTTAAGGAAGCAAAATAAAACATGGGATTAGCCTAATTCCTCCTTTCATTGCCTGCCATTAGTTTTGTTATTTGGAAGTCACGCTGTCTTTTGACTTGTGACAACTCTAATTCTCCACTTCCCTTCTTAATCATTTTGGTTCTTTTGCATTCAACTCTCCTCTTATTGGAGCTTCCTCTAATAATTAGGCATAATGCATATGTGAGTCGAAAGATGAGCATTAAACTCGGTCCTACCTTCATCTTTTAATTTCATATTATTATTCCAATCGACACACATTTAGGGACAGAGAGATTCAAATCTTTAACATCTTAATTATAACTACCAAAAAGAAGGATATTTATGACCCAAAAAAGTAACAAATATACGGTGGAACAAACTTATATTAATTGAATTGTATCCCCAGAGAATCTGTGCAATAGGCTTTTAAATTTGTTTGTGGATGATGAGGTAAGTAGAAGGGTATGTTGAGTGCTAGGTGGGGGAAAGAGACATGGGCAAGGATTTAACAGATGGAGATGGCCTTTTTGTCACAGAGAAAAGAATTAAATGTAAGGAAGGGGAAGACCAAAGAAAAAAAAATGTATATAAAAGTGAGATAAAAGGGTTCCAATTGGTGCAGGTAGCACAAAGTTTTGTGTATAGATAAAGCAAGTGCCCAACTTGTGTTCTTTTTTCCAGATTATCTTCAACTTTTTAAATTCAACTAATGTTGGAAGTTGTCCAAATTGAATATGGTAATCTCTCTTTGTTTATTCCAATGCCTTCTGTAACTAAAACAAGTTGAAAGTGTCAAATCAAAGCTTTGGAATTTAAATAATGATTCATAGTTTGTTCTTTGATTGATTTCTTTACCTTATCTGGGCAGGCTGCCCAGAATATTGTATATGCCCTCTCATACTCTTTTTTTGCCTTTTTTGTTCTTGGTGATGGTAAAGTATTGTGCTTTAATGTGTTAAGCTTTGATAAATAACATGGTTTTCAAGACCCATAAAAGATTAATGTCAGAATATTACATTACAAAAAGAAAAGAGAAAAGAAGGAAGAATTTGAATATAATATTGTTAGAGAACGTCTTCTTTACTTGATCTTCAATTGTACCAATTACTTTTTGGTTCATTGCATGAAAAGAATTAAAATTTGACTTACTTAGAATGCATCCAACTGGGACATGGAGGAGCTGAGAGACATGAATAACGACAAGGCGTGGAGTGAAGTCCGAGGACAAATTGAAGCTTAACAAATAAAAATGTTGGATATATTTTTTTTTTTTTCCTTTTGTTTTAACCCAAATTGTCGCGTATTCAACTTCCCTCGGTTGCACACTTTTCCCCTCGGAATATTGATTTTTTCTTCTTTAGTTTTTTAAGGTCACATCGAGAGATCAGTGCCGGAAAGAGATAGAGAGAGAGGGAAGGGGAAATAGGGTCTTTCAGCTGTGGAGGAATCCAATTGGAGACGACCCAGATGGCCAGAGCTCTTATTTTGTTCATTTTCAATTCTTGAAGTAAACGCTTTCCCCTGAAGAAATTTCTGCATTTAAAAGTAAACTCTCCACTCTCCTCAGCAACAAGGCCTTCATATCTTTCTTCCTTTACATGATTGATTACCCACTTGGATTTTCGAATGCATTTTTCATTATGGATCGATTGTGTTGAGTTATTAGTTTTGAGAACGAAGTATTTCAGAACAACTTCTGCGGGTAACTGGGTTTCGGGGGAAAACCCTTTTGTTAGATGGATCGAGAAGAAACAGAGGGTCCTAAACCCATTGTTGATTTGGTTAATAGCGATAGGATCGAGGCCACCATTGTGGTAATCCCAGAAGGCGCCGCCTCTGCTGGCGGCACGCCGGGGACTGAACTTGTTAATCGAGAGACAAGAGAGGGTTCGAATATGAACCCATCAGAAACTGTAGTGGTTATTGATTCAGATAGAACAGCATGTGGGGTTGAAGATGGAGAATCGATTGAGAAGAAGAATGGAATGGGGTTGAGGAAGGATTTTGAAAAGAGGAATGTAAAATCGAATAAGGAGAATCCGGTGTTGATAAATGTAAGGCAAAAAGGGGGTAAAGGGTTTAATGAAGAGTGGAATGGAGAAAGGGTGTGTAGGATCTGCCATTTGGCTTCCGACCAAGCTTCAGGGGCTAAGACTGGGACCAGTACTTCAGAATTGATTCAACTTGGCTGTGACTGCAAAGATGAGCTGGGAATTACGCATACTCACTGTGCTGAGGCATGGTTCAAGCTCAAAGGAAACAGGTTCTTCTCTCTCTCTCTCTCTCTCTCTCTCTCTTCTGGTTTAATGCCTTTTGCTTTGAGGAGATTAAATTGCTATGAACACGAGAAAAAACTTGGTCTACCCTTGAATTTGTCTCATACTATCAATTTAAAGCCATCGCTGCTAATACCTACTTGGTTGTTCTACCCGTGAGGGTTTCCAATTCAGTTGTTCGTTGTAGCCTTGACGAACTTTAACTGGTTTTTTGGGTAGTATCCACTGTTGATAAATTGATTGTTGATTGTGAGAGAGGAACGAGTGTGAGCAAGATATGGAGCCCCAAAGGGAGTGGACACCGGATAGTGTGTCAGAGAGAACGCTGGTACCGAAAAGGGTGGATTTTGAGATTTCACATCGATCAGAGAGAAGAATGAGTCGCTGGACCCGGTGAATTGTGATATCCCACATCAGTTGGAGAGGAACGAGGGTCAACGAGGATGCTATGCCTCGAAGGGGGAGTGAATTGTGAGATCCCACCGGAAACAAAACATTTTTTATAAGTGTGTGTAAAACTCCGTTGGTCCAAAACTTAAAACTTCGGTTGTCCAGGCGTTCCTTCAACCTCTTAAGTTGAATACTAACTGTTGAGTTGAGAATGATATTTTATGGCTGATTGTGTTTGTGATACATTCAAGGATACGTTCCTGTTTCAGAGCTTTCGGCATTTCAGTTCAAAGTGCCAAAACTACGGCATGCCGATTAGAAACTCCTGCTTTTAAACTACATTGTCTTTCATATTGTGAAATGAGCTGATGGTTATCTAATCACAATGCTTATTGCTCGGCACAGAATGTGCGAAATTTGTGGCGAGACCGCGAAGAACGTCGAAGGAGTCGGGGACAACCGATTTATGGAAGAGTGGAACGAGGGAAGATCAGTAGATAGCAATGGAAACATATCAAACAGGGGTGGGAGATGTTGGAGGGGACAGCCATTCTGTAACTTCTTGATGGCATGTCTGGTAATAGCTTTTGTTCTTCCATGGTTTTTTCGTATAAACATTTTCTAGCAAGTGTCGAATAATACAAATGATTGTTCTTTTCCATTTTAACTTTGGTTGAATGCTGCTGGTTAAACCCTGTAAATCTTACCATCTTCCTAAACCCATGAATTTGTGGCTGTTTCTTGTTGCTTATGCACTGCAGTTTCTGCTGCTTCTGCCTCATGAATTGTTCCAATGTTTATCGTTCATTCGTTTATCACAGTTTGTATTTTGGTTGCATCGTTTTTCTTCTGAATTTTGTTGTTAGTAAAGCTTTGGTTAATGATCCTTCATACGAATGTATGCACTTTTAAATCCATACTTAACTGATAGATGCAGACAGATTTTTGCCATTAGATGTACCATTTCACGTGTAATGAAAACGAACATGACATTAGTAGTTTGCTACTATAACTGTATGAGTCTATAAGATATTTGTGAGATATCACATTGACAGGAGGAGAACGAACATTGTTTACAAAGATGTGTAAATCTCTCTCTAGCAGACATGTTTTAAAATCGTGCTATTGTGTAACAAGTCAAAATAGACAATATTTGCTACCGGTAAGCTTGAGCTGTTACTTTTCAAACTTTTTTTTTTTTTTTTTAATGTTTGACCAACCTGAAAAGTTTGAATTTTTCCAAATGAAAATATGGTTCAACAAAACTTGGTTTGGTCATACCGTCATTTTCAATTTCATGAACTTCTTGACTCATTTTAATAATACAATTAAACTTTCAAATTTTCATTAACGGTTGACAACGATATGTAACGAGCTAAAGTTCTAACAAACACGCTTTAAAACGGTGAACCTGACGACGATACGTAACGAGCCAAAGATGACAATATCTATTAAAGATAGGTTTGGGCTGTGACAGATGCCATTTTAAAATCGTGAGACTAACAAAATTGTGTAAAAGATAAGTAAAGAGGGAAAAAAAATTATATGAATGGTTTTAAATGGGTTGTTTTTCAATTTATGATGGTTTTTCCTTTTTAATATGTGTTTTTTTTTTTTTTACCAATTTGACCCTAAACTATGAGGGGGCAGTTTCGTCAATTGATCGTCTAAGAGAGAGTATTAATAGCTTTAAAACCCTAACCTTTACCCTTCCCGCACTTGTTCCCCTCCGGAGCTTCGTTTTCTGCTCTGAACTGCGATACGGCAAAAATGGTACCTCCACCTCTTTCGTTTGATTTTGGTTTGGATTCAAGCATCCAATACGTTTTTGCGTGTTTAGATTTCTAATTTAGTTTGACTGTACAACATTGCATTTCAGGCGTCGGAGAAGAAACTATCTAATCCTATGCGCGATATCAAAGTCCAAAAACTCGTTCTCAACATCTCTGTTGGTGAAAGTGGTGATCGTCTTACCAGAGCCGCAAAGGTTTCTTTACCGTCTGTTACTTGTCCCTTCGGTTCTTTCTGTATAATTTCTGTAAAATCTTAACAATGATTATGGTATTTCTTTTTTGTACTTTAGGTGCTCGAACAGCTCAGTGGCCAATCTCCAGTCTTTTCCAAGGGTATAATTACCTTTTCCTTTTAGTCAATATTATGATTTCACGTTTCTATCTTCTTCATTCATTTCCTGAAATTTGTGGGCATGTCTTGCGGGAATGTTGTGATTGAAATAGCTCGGTATACCGTTCGATCGTTTGGGATCAGGCGTAACGAAAAGATCGCGTGTTACGTGACCGTGAGGGGTGAGAAAGCAATGCAGCTTCTTGAGAGTGGTTTGAAGGTTAAGGAGTATGAGCTATTGCGCCGGAACTTTAGCGATACTGGTTGCTTTGGTTTCGGAATTCAGGAGCATATTGATCTCGGAATTAAGTGAGTTGTCTAACATTTCTCTTGTATTTTTCAGTGATTTTTTTCTCACCATCTTGTTATTGTTTATTTTTCCTGTAACGGTTTTGTTTGTTGATGATGCTGATTAATATAGACTTTGTACAAATCAGGATTTCGGCTTATAATATGCAAGTGTGCTCATAGGACCTTCGTGAAATACTTAAGAAGAAGAGAGGGAATTGAGGAATTTTAATTTTAGAACTATAATAACTTAGTTCCGCCAGTTGGCTTATAATAATCATACTTTGCATTTGTGATTGGATTTGCTTCGTTGTCTGACCCGTAGTTGGATTCAGAACATGGGTTCTTCAACTGTTGTGCGCACAAAAATTATTGTGACAGACTAATCCAAGTCATACACACCTGTTCTATGCTGGGATTTATATAACTAAGATAGAAACTTTCATTCATATAAAGCATAGATTGTGTAAGCTTTGGAAAGAGATACGAACTAAATGCAAACGTACTTGAGGCTGTTGGATAATGATGTTGTAGGATCTCAAATTATCTGCGAAGTGATGTCCAACATATATTTCAGTGTCTTATTTATATCGATCTTGAACCGAAACCAAAGAGAATATTCACCTTTAGTCCAACTTTACAAATGCTCAACTTTCATTTCTCGAGGCTTTAACTATTTTGAGTTCATCACTGACTTACGTACATTGTCTTCAAATAACTTTCTGGTATATCATGTGTATCTCAATGCCACATTTTTTATTCTCGGAGTAATTTTTTATGCAAGAAAAGGTTGGTGGTGCAAATGCTGGCACCTACGAGTTTTGTTACGATGAAAATATTATTGTAAAACAGTTTAAACTGACAAGTAATTTAGCTTTTCTTGTTCTAAACTCCTCTTTTTCAAACTTTGCTACAGGTATGATCCTTCTACGGGTATTTATGGTATGGACTTCTATGTTGTTCTGGAACGACCAGGTTACCGTGTAGGTCGTCGCCGTAGATGCAAATCAAGTGTTGGAATTCAGCATAGAGTCACTAAAGAGGATGCCATGAAGTGGTTCCAAGTCAAATATGAAGGAGTTATTCTGAACAAGTCTCAAAATATATCCTAGAAAAGGTTCTCTACTATCTTTGATGGCATGTTCAAATTTTGGCAATGTGTTTACTACTTCAAGATTTGTCTGTCAGAGCTATTTCTTTTTTAAGGAGAGTTTAAGCATTTCTTATTCTATAGTGTACTTTGTTTTAACTCCGTATACAATTTTTTTGGTTGATAGAGTGGCAATTGTTTTGTTATGAAACCATAGCACGTAAGCATAACTTCCAAGACTAGCTGGCTTTTAGTAGAAGTGTTTCGTTCTCCAAACTAACATCAAACCTCTAGATAAAAAGTTCTCTTTTAACTTCTCACCCCAATTAGAATTCCGTAAACCTCCCTACTTTTTTTTTCTCTCGTGGGAGACCAAGACGGGATTTAAATTTTAAAAAAAGTTCTAAAAAAATTACCCTCTTCTTGCATCACCTGGCCTATTCCTCCCTCCCAAGTAGTACATTTAAAATAGGAACTCGAGCAGGCGCTGTCAGCTGTGGTTCTTCCATCACCTATCAGTCGCCTCCCTTCATTTGTTAAGCTTCGCAACATTAATTTGACTGATCGATTGGTTTATTTCTTACAAAAGTTATTTTTTTCATCGTTCCCATAAAACATTCAGTATCTTTTTTGACTGATTTCTTCTCAAACTTGTTTCTGACGTAAATTTCACTCCTGAAGTGCAATGTTATAACTTGCACAATCTTGGCCAGCTGATGCCATTTTTGTTATTGAATTACATAAATTTCGAACCCCTTCAACGAACATCCCCCCCACCCCACTACTAAACACATTGCCTACCCTATTGATTATGCCGTTTATAAATCTAAGGAGGATAGAATAATGTTTATACTTATGGGGTTGATCGTGAAAACATTAGGGTCCCAGACAACTCTCTTCTGTGACTTGAAGCAAAGGTTGATTGACATACGCATTCCATAAGCAAACTGTGATAATCATCAAAATGGGGGGCCCCCCTTCAACTCTACTCCCACTACTTTTTCATCATACTAAATCTAATTGCGTACCCTATTCCCCAGTCGCCCCGCTAACCCATCTTACAATCCATTCTATTTTGCTTCTACTAGATTGATTGTATGGTTTAAGACAGAATCTTTCTTTAGCTTCATCAACTCATTATCCCATTCACCAATTAAGCATATATTCAAGACAAATTAAACAACACTGGGCCACACATTTTCGTTTTTTTTATTACAAAATGGATATGCTTCTAATGTAAGCAAAGTACAGAACTGAAGATAACATTTCTCTCATTATGAATTACATTTTTTTTTTTAGAGAGATTTCACCATCAAAGCTGAGAAAATAAATAAATCATTGAACAAAAAATCCCATTGACAAGTGTAATATGTGTGTAATTAAACAATGGTGTTTCTAACTCTAATCCAACTTCAAGAGAATCGAGAAAACAACGAGGGATAATGAGAAATAATCTCAACGACAACACTTGGACAAGAGAATCGAGAAAACAATGAGAAATACCAAGGAAGAAAGCCCAATTGCCACTCCAAGAACTACCTTGTTGGGCCCGTGATGATGATTAGCCTCCTTGTGACTAACATCATTCTCATCATTCTCATCATTCCCATCATAATCACTCCCACTATCATCCGCCATTGAATCGTCGCCGTCGTCTTTAGCCGGCGGTGGGGATATCGGCAAACCGTGTTTGTCACAAGGAGCAATGCCGAGCTTCAACTTTGAGGATAATATCGAATGGTTATAACATAGATTGTTATTCCCCTGAATCTTGAACACCTCTAACCCCTTGATGAATGACTCGTTGAAAGGAATTACCCCATGAAACTCATTGTTCTCCAGATTCAAGTACTTCAAGCTTCTCATCTCCGAAATGAACCGGGGAATGGTCCCATTCAACTGGTTTGAACCCAAATCAATATGAACTAGCCCTGGGATGGCTGAAAAAGACTCCGGGATCGATCCCGACAGTTGGTTGGATGCTAACGACAAGTTTTGCAGCGAAATCAAGTCCCCAATTGAAGTGGGGATCTCGCCCTTGAGCCAATTTAACGACAAATCCAAGGTCTCGAGATTTTCAAGCAATGTAATGGAGGTGGGTATTTTCCCCCTGAGCTTGTTGCCGGAAAAGTCGACATGGGTGAGGTTCCGATTGAGGTGTTTAGGAACAAAACCCGTGAGATTGGCGTGAGAAATGGTAAGAGACCTAAGAGATTTCATATTGCCAACAATGACATAAGGGCCAGAGGCAGTAATAGAGACATGGGAGACAGTGAGATCAGTGAGGTTCCGGAGGCGGCTAAGCCAAACGCCAGTAAGCTTACGGAGACTGCGAA